TCCATGACAGTGAGCCAGGCTAGCAGAGGCTGTAGGTCATTCTCACTGGGAAGGTAGTCATAAAGAGCCTGAGGAAGACGACTGAGGATGAGTCTTAAGCAGAGATACGGAGGAATATTGTTAGATTTTGTCTTACCGTGATGATCTGGGCATTGAGTTCTGCAGAGAGGGATGAAGCGCTCGACTTCCCACTGAAGAGTCGATGAAAGGCCTGCATGGCGCTGGCCGTCACCATCTACAGCATATATACACACACATTTTAAAGCATTGCTTTAAACACTCAGAAATGCATGATAGAAGCTGAGCGCTCACCACGTGGCTGAGAGTCATGACACGCAGCAGAGTTTCACAACACGACTTAACGGCTCCCAGAGGAAACACTCCCATCAGCTCCTTCAGGAGGCAGAGCACATGGAGGGTGGTCGTGTCCTCTTTGCTGCCTGCCATGGAGAAACAAACGACACCATTTATGGATCATCGGACACATTTGGAACAAACTTTCTGCAGGCATCTAGAAACCTCTTTCATTACGGCCAATGGTTCTGTTTTTGTCGCATTGTACATTTCAATAAATTCTAAAAATATTTTATTTGCTAGATTATTTCATAACTGTATATGCCATTTTATGTTTTAAACAGGCTGAAGGTTTTTTTTTTTTTCCTGCTTTTCCAGTCTGAATTATTCTGTATTTATCTCCATCCATCTTGACTCAAACTCTCTTACATCTCCTGCCACTGCTAGAGAAAATCAACCACCCACCCAAATAAAATCAATTTAATCCAATAATGTTTTGGGTAAATTAAGTGATAAAATTCAAAAGCAGCATTTGATGTTTCCAAAAGACCCATCTCTCCATCTTACCGCCTTTTTTAAATTCAACGCATAAGTGATTAAAATATTTGTTTATTTATTGATTTTAAATAGCTTTGAACTGTACTGTTGTACTGAACTATACTTCCATTCAGCATGATGTCCAAGCTGGCATCACGGTTTAGTATGTTTTCATTCTGAGAAGCTAACTTTCTTCTCCATTTATTTAGTGAATTAGCAGCCATGATGCTTCACCTCCTGCCCGCTCGATTTCTTTTATGCAGAATTTGGCTGTAGTAGCTGCAGCGGGGTGATGGCTCGGAGCGTTATCAGTAAAAAGGAAGTCACTGCCTCGAAGGATGGAGCAAATGCCTTGCTGAGCTGCTTTACGGACCTGGGGGGATAAAATAAATAAAACGTACATATTTGCTTTTTAGAAATGTGTGGAACTTGCAACAAACACCTAGAATAATGGGACTGACCTTTGGCTTGCTGTGCACCGTGAAGCTAAGCAGACCGTGATACGCCTGCAAAGTAGACGGGTAACTCCACACAGAAACATCCTGCTTTCTCAACAAAGTGGCTAAACATGACAAGATCTGGAGATAAAAAATAAAAAAAACAGATATACGTTTCAAAATAATCTGAATGGAAAAGATCAAAAGAATAATAAAAAAAAAAAAAACTGAAACTCTTCTAACCCATCTGAGCGCTGAAGACGTGTCGGATGAGGCCTGTTTAGACATGACATCCATGAGAGCCTTGGTGGTGTCCGAGAATTTAGACTGAAGCACTGGTGCAGGAACACTGGTGAGTGAGAGACACAGAGAAGTCAATACCAATCAGTTAGGACACACATCATAGTCATGGAAACAAACAAAACAAAGAACTTTGTGGTTTCTACCGTTTCATGACCAGATTTAGGAGATAGGCCACTGCAGCCTGAGACTCTTCTGTTTCCACAACTTCCAAGGTGGTCATCTACCAAAAATATTAGTCATTAGAAAAGAAGCAGATAACTCATTTTAAAACAGTATTGCAAACAAACTATGACCAAACGCTTTACCAAAGCAGCAAAATACTCCGTCTCAGTTTCCTTTCCACCTTGACTTCGGATCACTTCAGTAACAGCTGCCAGGACTGCACAAATCTGGAAAGCAGCAAAGGTCACAGTTACTGCAGAAGCAGATATTTAGCTGCAACAAAATATTGTGTTTGCAGAGGCTAAGAAATTGCAGTAGGCATGGGTTTTCTTAGAAGGCTGAACAACACAACCTAACTCATGGTCCTTACCTCTTTGTGTGCAGCCGAGTTGGACTCCCAGAAGCGCTGCACCTTTCTGAAAGTAAGGTTGGAGCAATCGGACAGGCCGCTCAGAAAGGTGCCGGACGTCCTCTCTGACAGCATCTCATCTGGATCCTCCTCCATTTGAGTATCCTTGCGGGCCCCAGTACTGAGCTCCAGAGGACCGGCCTGCAGCTCATTGTGAAGTTTGAGAGCATCAACAGTCAGATCACTCTTTGCTGTGGAAAGAAACCAAAAGACAAATTTTTCACCTTAACTCCAAAACTGAAGCTAATCATCTATTTATGGAATTAGTTCCACCTAAAAAAAAAAAAGGCAAATACACAACCCTGTACTCGCTCCCGAGAGGGAACGTCTATTAAACATGTGCGAGAGCGCGCACAAGTCCATTTCTCCTTGTGCATGCTCTGTTTAAAAGTTGCTGTTTTCATCGCTCATAGAAGCTTACTTTCCAAAAGAAGATTTGTAATTTTTCCACAATATCAGACTCAGCACTGGTAAATGAAAATGGGGACAAGCACGTAATACGGCCTTATGTAAAAATATCACCAGAATGATTGACAGTTAGGAGGACCACTTATTTTGATGATCCACCCAGAAAAAGAACAGCCTTCACTACTCCACTATACCTTAGAGGACCTGTTCTATATATTAGGGTTGTCACGATACTAAACTTTTCAACTCAATACCGATACTAAGTAAAATATTCGGTACTCGATGTAATTTTCGATACCACAAGGATAAAAACAAAGACTCCAAAATTCAACAGAATTTTTTTCATTAATAAACAAAATACAATAAATAGATAAATAAATACGATAAACAATATTTTGAGGTTGTATGCTGTGCACAATATTAAGCAAGCTTGATAAAAAACCTATAAAATTAAAATTAAGTGTTCCTTCCTTGGCTATGCTTTGCACACATAACAATGACACTAGCCAAACCGGTTAAAAAACAAAAATAATTCTTAGCAGCTGCACCTGTTACGAAAAAAAGTCTGAAACCGAAAAGTGCACAGAATTATTCAATCACACAGTGTTCAGAAAGTGCATTTTCCTCTAATCTGCGCATAAGATGAATGACTTTTTCGGTATATCTGTGTTTGAGTATGCTTTATGGTCTTTCCAACGTTGTTGATATATATATATAGAGATCTATAGATAGATAGATAAGACCTGTAGAGAATGTACAGTCAGTTACCTCTTTGTAAAAACAATCAGTTGGAGCAATCATTCATTTAAAAAAAAGTTGATGTTGTCAAACAAATGACCTATGTGTTGCGAAGTAAGAGACGAACTGAACAGAAAGGTCCAGAAGAAACTGTCCTAAACGTGTGAAGTTGAGTGTTTGTTAAACATGCCAGCAGATAAAGTTATCTAAGTTAGCTGATGTTAGCTCTCAGGGACCCACGTGTGTATCTCTTACCACTGGGTCTGCTGAAAAAGCGGCTTTTTGCCGCCTGACGAAAGCGGCTGGTCTGCGGGTTGGAGTCGCTGCTGTGTCCTTTCTTCCACCGCTTCAGCTTGGACCCGGTCCCCGAGCGAAGTTTCCCTGATTTCACCATTTTTCAGGGTTGAGAATAATCACTTTCCTCCCCCCCAGCGGCTGACCGAGGACCTCCAGATGACTCTGTCGCTCATCTGATGACGTTACAGCACCGTTCAAGGCTCTGACTGGACCTTATTATGATCGGCCAGTAGATGGCACTATTCACCACAAACATGAAAACTGGTCTCACGCTTTTACGATTTTACGTCACTGTTGAGGTTTATGTCGACACATTACAGACAAATAAATTCCATTTTTTAACATTTTGCAAGTAAAAAAACTGAGAAATAACAAACACTGACTGTCCACTTGTGTTATAAGAAACGATAAAAAACAAAAAACAAAAGAATCCATCAACTGTTAAATCAGTGGCAGCTATTATAGATGGTATATACTAACTAAAAAGAGGAATGTTATAAAAACTTAACAAAATGGTGATAACTCCCTGCATTTTGATGCAATTACAATGTTTGTTCTTTAAATGCAATTACAATGAGTAATTGTGTTAGCAGACCAAGCCTCATCATAAAACTATTTGCAAAGGGCTACCAAAACAAAGAGGGAAAACTGCAATAGTCACACCATCTGGATACACTAATATAAGTTCTCTATTAGTAAAGCTGTGATCTTGTAATCAGCTGTCAGGAGTCAAGACAAAATAGCCATTATAATCATTGGTATTATAATGAACTTAAAAGCTTTAATGTCTTTAATGTGTTTAACCAATGTGAGGTCTAGTGGCTCCATAATAATTATGCTGGTCTGAAACCAGGTTTCAACTCAATCAGGCGTTGATTTAAAAGCTGGAGCTCTATACAAAATTATATCTTCAAGTACTTTGAGGTATTTAGATAAATAGCCTTGACACAATTTTAAAAACATCCGCTAATTAAAATGCATGTTCAGACGTTTACTACAAACAGACTGCAGTCTGTAAAGGTTGCTTTAGTTCTCTTTACACCTGTCAGTGAGACTTTTGACAGGTTGTAACATCTTCAGCACATCTCTCATTTCCATCATCATAAATCTGCCCATATTTTCATCATCACCAATGCTCAGCTGTCTTCTGCCATAATCTGAGCATCAAAAACATTTACATTTAATTATGTCAATAAACTCCCTCTGAGTAAATTTACAAAACCATGAGATGAGTTTAAATGTATAACATTTATTTTTAGTATATTTAGTTTTTCCGACAGAAAACTACTGCTTGTTTGTACAGTTGTTTGAAATGATGAACCAAAAATAATTTCTTTACCTACCTACCTAATAAAAGGCTCCCTTATCATTCTCAGTGTCTTTGTAGTGTTTAGCGATATTAAATGACCAAACAAGACTATCTAATTTTTTATTGTTAGAATTGCACATCTGTTTGTCCAAAAAGAAACAGTAGATTTTCCTTGTATGTTCTTCTTAACTGAAATGTTGTTTTTTTTAATTCAATAACAAGCGTAAGTACAAACAAACAAGACAAGGAGAGGAACTCATGTAAACAATAGAGCTGCAAGTCGAGGTCTTCAGAAACAGACATATACAGGGATATGCACCTTAGGGCTCTAACATCACCTAAAGTGTTTCAGTGCTTTTCAATAATATCTCTTTATTTGGAGAAAAAAAAGGAAAAATAGAAAAAGGAGCAATATAAAAGCAATAATTTAATATATAAAATGTACATAAAATTCTCCTGCTGGAAACCTGCTCCTGTTCCTGCAGACTTCTCTGGCACATCCTTTATCTTTCATTACCCCTCAGTTAGGGATGACTTAAGGATTAACATTAACAATCACTTGGACAACGTAGTCTTTTTGGATCTTGGCATCTTGAAGACGAGTCTTGTCTGTCAGAAGTTTCCCGGAGAAGAACCACCGCTGGCGGATCACCTCGATGTCCTCCTGCTTCTCCAGCTGTTTCTTCAGCACAGCTATGGAGTCTGCCAGGCTGGCCGTCAGACGCAAATCCTTCCCTGAAGGAGAAACTTTTTATTAGTTCTCAGATGAGACCTGATGTCCGCTTTATGCTGCACTATAACTGCAATGTGCAATCACTATTTAATACCATGTGCAATAACCTGTTTATATTTAATACTCACTGCAAGAACTAAATATATATATATATATATATATATATATATATATATATATATATATATATATATATATATATATATATATATATATATGTGTGTGTGTACAAGTACATTTCTCAGTATCAGAAATACTTTACTCCAGTGTGAGATCAATAAAGTCTATCATTTTAAATACCTCTATTTTTCCTCTCATTTATATTTAAATTAGTCTACAAGCATATAATTTCGAATTGCTAAATGCAAGAATAATAACAACTTACATGTTTAAGTTACTTCAATTTCAGAAGTTTACTTTTGTTTCATTGGTATTCAGTAGAAATTATTCTATTACATTTTGCAACTTGGGTTAGATATGTTGAATAACCTTCTACAAGCTTCTGGAAGTATTTTATGTTGTGTCTGTCAGCTTAATTGGCCTCCTTGCTCACACGTATTTAAAGTTCTGCACACAGACCATCTATCCTCAGTGCTTTATGATGCCACTCCAAAGCCTTCACTTTGTTGTTTTTAAGTTACTTTGTGTCTCACTGATGGTATAAGTAAGATCATTGTCCATCTAAAAGAGTTGTTCCAAAGCTTTTAACACACTGGTTGATGTTTTAAGATGTTTCAGTATTTCCACATAATGTTATTTCATCACAATGGTATCTATTTTGTGAAGAGTACCACTCCCTCAAGCAGAAAAAAAGCTTCCATTATAGCCAATTTTAGATTTTAGAAATGTTTTTAAAAGCTAATTCTTTGTGTAGTTTAGTTTACTTAGTTATTTAGGAGTGACGACTTCTTCACCACTGAGTGGCTTTTCAGTCCCTGTTGGTTAAAGGCTTCACCCAGTGCTACCAGGAGGTTTCTAACTTTTGTTTATTGGACAAAAAAAAATGTTTTCGTGGGACATGTGACCTGTCATATACCTAACAACAGGCTGCCTGGACTTTCTTGCTATTTGCATAATCGCTTGAAAAAAATAAAGTGGCTGCGTCAGATATTTGGGCATTTTACCTTTTATCTTATATCTTGGCAGAATTATTTGGATTTTCCAGTGATAAGAGAATTGTATTTGAGGTGTTGTCCCAGGTTTTCCCTAATTCCAATCAAACAATGGGGGTTAACTTATCAGAAAGTCCCTAAGCCATGACATCATTTGGGCTTTTCTGTTTAAAGACAATTAAAGTGCACTTCTCACTTTTAGGAATCCATATCCAAATAACTGGTTTTGGATATAAACATCTTGTGGCATTACCTGTGGATAGCCGCACCCGCAGCTGGAACTCCTCTCTACACACTGGAGGCTGAGCCTGTTTCTGTGTGCCTTCAGACTGTTTGCTCTCGCTGGATGTTTCATTGATGAGGTTGATGGGCGGTGCTAAAGTGTATGCAGGGAGCTGGTAGCGGTTTCCAAGTTCATCATAACTCTCTGTGAGAGAACCTGGAAAGAAGAAAACACCCCAATAAATACAAAACTATGAAACAGGCTGTAAAGATTAGAGATGGACGTCTCCTCTGAGGCAGCACACCATGCTTTATCCTGAAGCTCTGCAGGAATCAGTCTGGTTTTAGTGTTCAGGCAGCAATGCTACTATTACATAATTACTACAACATTAATCTCTTTCTCATCAGGCATGGGATTCTCTGGCATTGAGAGAATAAATACGACTCAACCAGGGAGCTTCAGTATATCTAGAGCTTACCATGAGCAATGTTTTCACATAGAAAATTGTCTGTATGAATGTTTCATACCATGTGGCAGAGTGATGCAGGCTCCATCCACTATAGCCTGAGCCAGCTCCAGGTCATTGCACTCCAGAGCCAGAGCTGCAGCTCTAAGTGCATCCCAGATCTCTTTCCGTCCATCAAACGCCGGAGCTGTATCCCAAAACTCGTCTCTCTTGCTCCTCAGTTGGCCCTCTGTCATCGGGTACTCGCTCTTCCACTTAGGACGCTCTTTCTTGAGAGGCTCATTGCGAGCTGTAGAAAATATAACAAAAAGAAGGTTGAATTAATTCTGATCCAAAGCTTGGAGGACTAAATAAAAGACTAAACTGTCAAAAAACAAACATGACTGGATCCTGCTGGAAACCACAGATAAATCAAAATGTGAAAAAGTACTACAAAATTCTAAATGTTTACAGTATACTTCGAGTTTTGGTATACGTCAAGTATAGGTAAAATTAAATTAGGTAAGTGCATTAAGAGCAATTTGAAAGTATACTCCTACTTCTCTTAGCTCACTTGCAGACTAGGTTTTGGTAAAGGTGCTGTTATATACAAAGCATTTTATTGTGATTTTATGTGACAGACCAACAAAAAGTAGTGCATGAGTCAAAGCATAGAAAAGTGTGACATATGCATGTATTGAGCCCACTTCACTTCAAGCCCACAAATAAAATCTAAAGCAAACGTTTGCTTTCAGAAGCCACCTAATAAAGCCCTTTTGTGTTGAGTCAAACCCAAACAGTCATAGCTGTGATGCTGGAAAGCATACGATTAATAAGTGACCACATTTTCACTACCTTACAGCTGGGCACTTGTTTGTGCTGCTCTGTAACATGGGATCCAGGTGAAACATAATTAAATATGTAATACTAAGGAGACTAAATGATCAATGGGAACAAATACTTCAACACAACACTGTATAGTTAAAAAGAAATCTAAAAGGCAATAAAGCCGTGCAGTTAGAAAGAAACCTCCAAGAACAATTTCTTAGTATAGAGACTGCTACAACGGTGACCCGCGTCATGACTGATCCAAAAACAGTTAAGCTCTTTTCCATTACCTCTGGCATCACTGAGCATTAGGTAATGTTATTGTTTTCCTGCACTGCCATAAGCAAACTCTTGTTTCTGATTAGGAGAGTTGCAAAGATGTAATTTAGCTCCCAAAAACATTATATTAGAGCAACATGGTATAAGAAAAATACATATTATGTATATTTGGTGAAGCTAAAATGAGTCAGTGGTTATTTTAACCTCTGTATGCTAGATAATATGCAGTTTTCAGGTTTTTGGAGGTGAACTGCCTGAAAAAAATGCAATGGTAAAGTTTTGCATGAGCCTAACACCCAGATATAACAAAATAAGTTTGATATAGAATTAGCCATAAACTCTGTTAGATTCACTGTTGGTGGGAAATCAAACTAGTTATTTATAGCACAGTGGATTATTGCAGAGGCCAGTGACAGAGACTGTACAGTACAGTACATGTGAATGGATACACACAGACACACACCAATGGATTACAGGCTGTAATCAGGTTCCACATAACAGGATTTATCTGCCACTGTCCAATTGGACATTGGATTGAGAGCTGAGCATTCGTTGACCAATGGGAAACGGCAAAAAAAAAAAAAAATATCCCAGTCCCACCATTTCCAGCAGCAAGTGCGTAGAAAAAGAAACCCGCTATGTGCTTAAAAAATAATATGTGGACTTTATTTTTTCTAAAAGCTGAGTCAATTTTAATATCTTTTTTTTTTTAAAGCGAAGTTTGAAACCTTACGTAACACTTCTTTATGTAACACCATAAACTCCAAATGTACCAATATGGACACCAATGTTTGCAGTATCATTGTAGAGCAAAGCAGCAAATCCTGCATAATAACGATAACTGGAAAATGTCTGCAGCTTTTTAATTGTAAAGAATAAAATTAAATAAATATAAATATTTTAAGGAAAACAATAAAGGTAATGAAAAATAAACCTTTGGCAAAGTTATTAAATTTTTCATTAATTTCATTTACTATATTAGCACCAAAAACAAACTTTAGCTTGTCTTTATGTATAACTCTGAAGAGAAAAAAAAAATGTTTTACACACCTACACATCATAGCCCAGCCTGAAATTACCAGCCTATTGCCTTTTATACAAAAAGCAATGTATGCACAGTTCATTTATAATCTATATCATCAGGAAAATAATGATACACATCAGTGCAGGCAGCAAGGGTGACATCTGCTTCATATTCACAAGATACAACTCCCTGTTATAAAATATATTGGTCATAAAGAATTACCAGTGTCATTTAGATGGAATTTAATTAAACCTATGTCTTCTTATTAGGGATGTCCCAATACACCACCAATATTGCAATTTTGAATATTGACCAATCTAGTGGCATGAATCATACTTATCGTACTTTTAATACTTGTTTTGTAATTTGGAATGATAGAAAAATCGAGTGATATTAATCTAATAGAGAATATTAGTTACCAACATTAGGTATGAGAACAACTGACACAATCATTACCAACCAATGAGTTACATAAACATTAGAAGTGGATTATTTCTATTAGCATCTGTGTTTTTAGATGTACTTTTCTGGTTAATATTGGACCAATTTATTATATCAATAATGGATCTGGACATCCCTACTTATTTCCTGACTCAATTCTCTTTATATAAACAGCAAGTATAGAATTGTAATCCAAATAATTTAACAGAGCAATAATCACCTGGTGAAAGTTAAAACTCGAATTGCCTTAGAGAAGCAGTTTTCTAATAAGTATGGAAGACGAAATGTTCTCTTAGCTGAGTAATCAAAATTTTGGAAAAATAGTACTAATAGTCTTTCTAATTTTATCCTGTAATCATCATATATACATTCGTAAAATCACAAACAGACTGTCTGGATGCCATATGTGGTAGGATATTATATAATAAGTGCAAAACAGCAAATTGTGCATCCCAGTAACATCATTAGTCTGGTGAATGGACCTTCACAACCTTTTCATGCTCAAATGTTTTACCCATTGAGATATTAAAGCACACATTAAAGAACAGTGGGAACATTGTGATTAAGAGAAAGAAACAATGAAGTGAAAAAATCGAATTATTCTCATTGGAGTGTCCAGTTACAGTATCACTGATAAATGTTTTCTTTTCTTTTTTCTTTGATTTTTTAAAAATGAATAAATAGAATAGGTGATAAAAAGAGGCTGCAGAAAAATGTCACCTCACTCATTTCTGGATTACATCCAATAGAGCTCCAGGTCCTTAGATCAACTTTGACTCTGTGTCCTTAACTACATGCCTATATCTTAAATTCCAGAAAAGATATTAAAAGAACTAAAAATTGAAAAAGATTGGATCTTTCTGCTGTTCATGTTTTATTTGGAAGCGATTATATTTTATAGAACCTGTTAAAACATAAATGCTGAATAAACGTGCATAAATAAAGTTTTGCAGCCATCAGTGTGACCTTTTAAATTAGTAATCCATAAAAAACTTGAGTCTCCAGATTAATTTTATGATCATAATTGGTTAAAACGCGGACGCATCAGGTGTGATCCAATAGAAAAGGATCGGCCAGGATGTGCATTTTAATTGTATCACAACCAGCATAAAATGCAGTCATAAATATACCCGTTAGATGGGTTAACTAACTAATAAAAATATGATCGCAAATGAAATAAATACTTACTTCTGAGGAAAATCTTTAAGGGTGCATCTGGAGCATGATAGTAGTTACATTCTCTGGAGTTAGGCACTCCCATCACTGCTTTTCTATCTGAGTGTTGCTATGAATCAAACTTCTGTTCATCCAAAAGTCAGAGAAAATGATTCACAGAGGTCGACCTCAAGGAAGATTAAAAGTCTGCTGCGTTTTTGGTGAATATCACTGATCTCTCTGATCAAAGACTCAGTTGAGATTTGGAGCTGATTTCCAGGTGGTTCCACTTCCCCAGTTGCTTCAAAATGCCACCACCTACTCCTGTTTTAACCCTTCTAATTAAAACACACGACCCCGTAAATACCAGGTGAGCAATTCATAGAAACAAGTTCGTTGTATTCAGGGAGTGAGCTGAGTGTCCTTGCAAGAAGGTAGAGCCTTGCACAAGAGACCTAATCCTATCAGCTCTATTTAAAGACAGGATAGAAATACCCAAAGCCAACGTACTAAAGCTATTAACAGGCTATAAACTCAGGTCAGACTACTATAGTCTGCTGGAAGGAAAAGCTGCTGCAACTGAGAATGTCCCCAAGTGGCTTCATTCACAGAAAAATAGACTGTTCATCACACAGTTTATGTATCTGCATTTGACCAAAATTAAAGTGTATAATTTTAAAATACAAATCCTGCATCAAGTAGGAAAACCTTCTGTTTTCACTGCAGCTAAAGGTGTAGTGTAAAACTATCCTCCCAAGCATATGGGCAGATATTTAGAAAAATACTGGATTAAAGAGTGTTGAATTAATCTGTGAGGTCATTCCTGCAGATCAGACACAGGACTGAAATATAAGGATTGGGAGGTTCAAGAGACAGCTGCAGATGGGAAAAGATTTCCAGATAGCAGTGAGGTAAAAAAAAAACTGTTTACAGGAGCTGCATGAATTTATTTATTTATTTTTATTATTATTTTTATTTTTTTTACAGTATCCTGTCTGGCAATTTAGCAATAAGAATAATTGCCTTGATGCAAAAAAAGAGCCCAACAGATTTTACTTTCACAAGTGGAGCAGTATGACAATTGCCATATTGCTCCACTTTTATCATGTATATAAATTGCTTTATTATAATTATGCAGGGAGCTTTACAGTTTATATGGACACTGCAATGTAAATAGAAATAGCTGCATGAATTTAAAGAAGCATGATAAGGTTTTAGTGCCAAAAAGAAGAGGTTTTTGTGACTTGCGGAAATGTTATTTTGCAGAGTTGCACAAGATTAAAGTTGCATAATGGTGGCCTATCTGATATTGAAGATATAAATGAATGCACACAGATCAACTTTAATGAACCCAAACAGCAACAAAACATAAGTTGGTCTTGAAAGGTGTTGTTCAAGTAGAAGTGGAGAGGAGAAAATACTCAAAATATGACCCTATGTTTCATTAATTTCTGGAGTTGAGACCTGGATGTAGGAATAACATGCCCCATCATAACTTTGCCCTTGCAGGAAGACATGAAAAAATATAACAATGTTATGCTTAAATAGCTGTTTTATTTATTTATTTCTGTACGTTTTAAGCATATGACGGCCATGCTGTATGTTTTTTTTAGGGTTAATAAGAGAGCTTGGTTCATTTTTCTAACTGGAAAACTCGAGCAATAATCCCTAACAGCAAAACCTTAGAATCTATCTGATGCTATGTGAAGCGAAAAACCTGGACAAATTTAGAAAAACACCATCAAAGTATTTGGTGCCAAGAGACACCTAAGGTACAGGGATTTTTTCAATGTGTGGTCAGGACAAGAAGAAGTGGCAGCTAGCCTGGCTTAGCCTTTTTGATGCACGACATGGGCAGATCTTTGGAGCCCCCCTTTTTTTCCCTTTTAAACCATGCTGACAAATTTATTTTGGTAACAATGTACGTAGTTATCAGATTTACATCACAGAAAACTTTAACAAATTTGTAAATATTTTAAACAAGACAATTTCTTTCTTCCAAAATTAACCTTTTTTACAAAACTAATGCTTTTTGGAAACCCCCCTTCAACAGAGGTGAACTGTCCTAATAGTTTAAGAAAAAGAAAAATATACATTTTCACTTTATTTGTATTCTAATTGATGTTATGTTGTTTTATCTACATATAGTTTAGTCAAAACTTCTCCCTTCAGGCCTTACTACAGATTAGATTTGAGATCAAATTAAGGCACAGGTAAACAATAGCCCACAACTACACTCTGTTCTAGCCATAGATCTTGTTTTTATAGTAATTATTCCAAAGTGCTATTGCTGAAAAGAAACTGGTCCAGGAATATGAAGCTGCTCTCTAAATCTGTCCATCCCTACATCATCATAATGCAGGCATCTTATATCTTAGTTACAGCATCATCATGCAAAATTAAATATGCATTAGCAAATCCATTACCTTGGGTTTGAGATCACAGTAGATAAAGTCTTTGAATGTGTTCCAGCTCCTTACCTCCTCGCTTTTTGCTCCTTGTGGAGCCATGGGCACTCCCTTGTCCATCCGTCCTGCTCCTCCCCACACAGCCTCCCATCACTGTCACTGTGTCCCACAGCAGGGAGGTAAATGTAAATATTTAGATCATATTTGAAAAATTTCACAATAAGCTTGCAAGAGAGGAGACTACATGAAAGAAAGGATAAAAATGACAGCTCAGCACTGCCTGTTCCCGTGAGGTCAGACAGGCTGCTATGTTTATGTCACGTGCAGCGCCAGCTGATGGGCACGCGCGCCTGAACAGCGCCATGCATCCACGCTTCTAGTATTTAATTAACATTTTAAAAAGCGGGAATTTATTTTATTTTAAGCTGGTTTTGTTGCTGGTAAGCTGCATAAATAAAGAGATCCGTTTTTAATACATTTTGAACCACAGTTAGGCTATAACAGTTGGAAACTATATAATCTGTTATAGAAAAGAAGGACAGAAACAAATCACCAACCTGAAATCCAGTCTGCTAAATTATGCATCCGTCTGCAGTTTGCTTGCCACATCAGAACTTGTTGGCAAACAGTAGTTTATCTCTGGATGGGTCAGCTGAAGCTGTGCGCCTGCAGAGACAGGAGGGAGCGCGTCTGTGCCGCTCCGGAGGTCCAACAGCTCTACAACTGCCGTATGTTTCCTTTTTTATATAAAAAAAAATCAACAACTAGTTTTTAAATTTTCTTCGATTAAAACTACGGAAAGCCTTTACAGTGTGTCCGTTTCGGATCTTACACAGAATTAATTCTTTAAAACCCTACGCGCATGCGCAGAATGTAGGCTCAGCATCCCAGCGGAAATGGAGAGCAGACTCCTTCAAAATAAAACAATTTATAAAGCTACAGATTAATGTTGCAGACTCATGATCTAACAGATGAAAAGTGATCTAAAATTAAAGCTAGCTGTTAAAAAAAAAAAAAAACTTAAAGTAAATTGCAAGGGAAAAATATTAAATCAGCTGTCTCTTCTGTCACTGTATATCATCATACTGCAAAAAAAATTTGTTTTTTAAAAAAGTAAATGTATCTGCCTCTAAACTGCAGGTAAATATACTAATCTGCCAAAAGAAGGATTGCTGTTCCTAAGATTATCAGATATAATACACATCAAATAAGTTTATGGAGTTGTTTTGTTTTCTAATTTTAAACATAACTCTTGTTCCACTGGCAAATCATCTCACATAGCTGCTAAAACCAATGGATAATACACCTATTTCAAAAAAATTGACTTACTTATATTTACAGTTTTGCAGGGTGTGTTTTCAGTAACGGGCCGGGAGCAGTTCTACAGGGCCACTAGTCCCTGTGGGCCCGTCTAGAGCTGCTCATGGCTACTAAGGCACGGACTGATAGCAGTGCAATGAAAATAATAATAATTAGACGAGCAGCAAAGAGCACTTTGATAACAGTGTAGAAGCTGGGAGAAACTGGTGAGAGGTTAACTCTATAAATATCTGTTTCATGGAAAAGTGAAAACAGTTATTGAAGGTAAGTGCCACAATCTTTTCAAAAGAGAAGCCTCCAAACATGAAAAGTAAAACAGATAAAAGAGTGCTGTTTCCAGGCGATAAAAATGAACCCTAAATGCATCAAGCACTACACATGGCACTCACAACACATCTTTGTGATCATCGTGTTACATGGACGCTTTTCTTTATATCAGAGAGATAGCAACTGGTCAGACAAAAAATAAAAATCCTTCTGAGCAGGTTTACTTTTTAATAGGACAGTGACTATACAGCAATGGCTAGACTCATCTAAAGCCTGTTCACACGTACAAATGGCTTAGCCTGATCGTATTGGTAAAACCATTTGAAAAGTTTTTTGTCTTATCTGAAAATATATTATAAAGTATGCAGAATTTGGGGAATTTAAAGTGTGAAAATGTTTAAGAGTTATTATGAATCTTGCAGGAGTTAGTGAAAAAAAAAAAGACCTTTCCTGTATACATTAATATCTGACATTTATAAGAACGACTTCATACACCGTCAGCAACAAATCCACAACATTCTGTTTATTTCTACGCGTTATAAGAAAATGTACCTTGTGTTTAAATTTAAACAGGCTTATGATGTATCTTGGTCTGAGAACAGAGTAATCTCACCAACCTTACCCTTGGCTCACACCTTCAGTCAGCTCAGTGGAGCTTATCTACTGCTGTACGCTCACCCAGTTGGTCTTGCAAGTAACATGTGCAGGGAGGAATGATGAAAACACCTGACACTATAAATATCTTTAGCAATTGTATAATAAGGGGTTAGCTGGAAGGTTCAGACCCTGCGGTCATACACATCATGATTTCAAGAGAAAATGGAGAAAGTTTTCTGGTGAAGTGCAACAAAACTGAGCAGAAGTCTACAGCTAACTCTAGGGCTGCAACTAACGATTATTATACAAATCGATTGATCTGTTGATTTGTTTTTAAATTAATAGATTAATAATAAGATAGCAGGTCCCTTAAAGAAGACTTTTTACCAAAATAAACCAGGTGAAACCTTAACTTTTCCGCCTGAAGAGTTCAGGACAGAACATAATGACAAAAACATTTTTATCATAAATGCAAAATGTTTATTTATATATTTTTTTTTTACTATTTTGGTATAACTGCTGGTCAAGGTGAGTTGCTCTGTCAGCTAAAGACACATTTTAGAGTCTCTATACTCCAGTTAACGCTTAATCGATTAATAAATTAGTTGACAATTGATTTATCTGATTAAATTTTTCACCCTTTACTAACCGCCACACTTCATGACAGGTATATGAATAAAAAAAAACAGAACAAATTGTGGGAAAAACAAGACTTCCATAATTTGTTGAGAACTTGCTCAGCTTACTGCTTAAAATACTGACATCTGCTGGAAGGTCCTGACATGCATGCAGGGTTGGGAGAGGGTTAGGTTATCTTTTTTTTGACCTCACTTTCCTCCTTTAAATAACAATACCTGCACCTTTTTCTCTCTAGGTGATATAAAACATTACAGGCTAAAATCGTGATTTTTTTTTTTTTACTGAAATAGAAACACTGGTAGAAAATGTTAATCTCAAAAGACAAGGAGCAGATTTGGAAAGAGAGCTACCATATTTAACAGCTGATCTCTTTGACATAATAAATGGATCAAATCCATCTGTAATCTCCCCTTCATACCAGCAGCTAGTTTGGGCTTCCTGTCAAAACTGTGACATAACTCAGTAGCTGCTTAGTATAACAGAGCTAAATGGATTTTTTTTCTAAAAGTCATGACATGGTGTAAAGAAGAAGTCAACATTATTTTACAAAAGTGATAAAGATTTATTAACATAGGCAAAAATACAGATAAATAATGTCAGAAAACCATGTTTGAATGGATTGAATGTTTTCAGGACTTTTCTATTAAAAAAGGGTTGTGATAAATTAACATGAACCACATATTAAACCACTTTCTCTTTAACTTTAGTGTCTCTTTTTTCAAATACAAAACAGAAGGAACTAAATAAAACATTTTACCTTAAAAATCCTTTAAACAATAATTCAGTCAGAGTGTTTTTTGGTGTTTTTTTTTTTCTATCCAATACTCATGTGCTCAAACTCGAGTCAGTTTACAAGAAATATTTATGGGGAGAATTCTATCTAAACCCGTCATTTTGAGGTAATGGAGGTTGATAGGGTCTGGTGGAATCACCTAGTGGGAATCCTGTGAGCCAGCTGGATAACGTCGGTTGACAGAGAAATAATTTTGGGCTACAGGTGTACTGAACCAGTCTGTCATACAGGTATCAAGTCCTTCCTGACTGGGAAGATGTCCCATGTCAAGCCATCTCCATGTGGCGGGTGTCCAGAGGGGAGCAGAACACGTGTCACCCAGTGACTAAACACAGAAAACAAAGCAAACATTACCACTTTGCTCACAAACAACAAAGAAAAAACAGAGCAGTTTCTGTACGGATAGCAAAACACACCTATTTTTCTCCACCCCAAAGAAGATTTTCCAGTTGTTCAGCTTTCCATAGTGGAAAGGGTTTCTGTAAACCTGAAATCAATTAAAGAAAGAAACAAGCAATTAAAACATAATAACGAGAAGCTTCCTGTTTTGCTTCCACCATTGTGGTTTATGTTTGCTTTGTTGTTAGATTATTTCAAACAAAAGAATTTTTATGACCACCTTCTAATGAAGGGCATTATCTAATCTAAACTAATCTGTCTGAGGAAAAAAAAAATTGTGTGCAGAGTGGGTGTGTTCTGGATGATCTCCAAAGATTGTGTGCACAAAAGACAAGATGTGCGAATTAGTTTGACTCCGCCCCATTTTGATAACCATAATAGGGCCATTTGAGACTGGAATAATGGTAAAGGCATGTACACAAAAAGAGTTTCCAAACACTGATTTTGAACATGCCAATCACTGTGTACCTGGTATAAAGATCACCTAACACGTTTGCATGTGTTTTAATAAACCCAGATCTTCTAAGGATCAGGCCCATAATACTGATTTGGATTTAGAACCAGAATAAGGGTACAGTTCTGTGAAAAAGTAAGGTTCTGTTGGTTTATTTTAAGTATTTTTAAATAAATTGAAATGTTTTAGATGATAAAATACTGTTTTTTTTCTAAGTAGACATAACCAATTAGAGTAAATACCATAGCGCTTTTCAAAATTATGATTTCATCCAGTGGCACTGGAAGGGGGGTGCTGTGGGGGCTGCAGCCTCCCTCGTCATAGCATCAGTCCCCCATGGTGGGGGGCTGTGGAATAACATAATATTGTACTTAAAAACATGAAATTATTTATGTATTTATTTTTTAAAAGACTGTGTTTGATATGGGATTAAAATGATGGGCTGTGTATAAGATATAAACTAATGATTCATTATTTTAATATTTCATAAAAAACTAGGCTACTCCCCCGGAAGCTTCTGCCATCTCACATTCGTTTAGGCATGGCTAGCAATAGGCAGCAGAAACGTATTTCTGACTATTTCAAGGTAAGAAATGGTTTTAATTCCCCTATACTGCCGCCGAGCATTTATTTAGCGTTATTTATTTCTTATTTATTTCTATATGCTGTGCCTATTCGTCGTAGTCCTGTGGCTGAAGAAGTCTACGCAAGAATAAGGCTGCATATCAATGATCAGTTTAGGCGATATTTAGGCCATGTCTCATTCAAGTATTCCTGATCCTGTTGATTGGGAGCTGTTGTTTGTTTTGAATGATCAAAAGAGAAGAAATAAAGTTTAAAATGTTCATGCTTTGTTCCGATACATTTTAAATGGCAGTTTTTGGCAACAAATGTAGGCCTACAATATTATGTTAAAAACGTCAGCCACAGCCCTCAACATAATGACGTCATGTGTTTTCCAACCCAGCAATCAGCTCCCCTTGCTTGAAACAGCTTCCAGCGCGCCTGATTTCATCAATATAAAGTACAAAATGAGCTTTGAAATCAACCTGGTTGTATATAAAAAAAGTTTAAAAATCTAATAAATGTTTGTGAGACTCCTAGCAGCAACGACTACCATCTAACATAGAGACAACTGACAGTAAGTCAAACAAATCAGGGGAAGATTTTCAATCATCATTCAGACGATTAAGCGACATCATGGATGAAATGGGCATGTGGATCATTTATGGTGAAATAGCTCAAACTGTGTTTAACTGAAACCCAAGAAATGTTTTCAATCGTGTATAAACAGAAAGATGTAAGTGATTTGATTTTCATCTTCACTTGAATCCCTTTAGATGCGAACATTTTGTGTTGCTGTTAATTTTTTTAAGCCTATTTCCTGTTGTTAAGCAGCATTTAAATGATTTCTTGATCAATTTCAAGATCAACCAATTAGACCTTTGAGTGATGAATGAAATCTACTATTTACAGTTAAATATGATTTAAATTATTCAAATATGTTGAGATGTTGTTGGATTGCTATTTTTCCCTTAATTAATGAATTATAATTTCAAAACAGTATTAATAGGGTTATCTTTCCCTAAATCAAAATATGAGAGGCGATCAGGAAGGCTTTTATGTCAGAAACAGACACAAGGAGTCAAGAGGAAAATACTTTTTCATGGTGCTGAATACACTTTCTAACCCCGTTACCTTGCCCCAGGCTGCCAGTCTCTGTCTTTCCTTCTTGTTCATGTGTCTCTCTATGCTGGTCTCTCCTTTGGATATGAGAACAGCATGCCAAACTGTCAGAGCTCCCAGAGCCACACCCACAGTGCTGCAAAAACGAAACACATTTTTAATTCATCTTCTGCCAAAGAAAACAGAGGAAAACCTTAATTCTCCACTACAAAGCCTATAAAACTCTAAGCGATGTAATTATCGAAAGTGGCAGTGGGCTGGCTTGTTGCTACATTGAGATGCTTTTTACCTGGTGAGAACCCACATGTAGATGATGCTCTTATGAATCATCCTGTCCTTGAAGGTGTATGGAGGTGCAGCTGTCTGGAAGTTGGTCTTCCCAAAACAGAAAATAGCTCATATTAACCACCCATCAACCAGTGAAAAGAATTGTAGCTTGATCACATCATTGTATTTTTGAGATAATACCTGTCCAGATGGAAGAAGCCCTATAAGAGGTCCCATCCCTGTTACAGGAATTCCCGGCTTTTCCAAATCCAAATGTTTAAAGCGCTAAAGGAACAGCCCGCATGCATAAGCCCAGAGGCCAAAGAAAGAAATGAGACACAGATAATAGAAAGTTCACCCGTCAACGGAAACTATTTAATCTATGAGAGCAGGGATCACAAGGAGGAAGCACCAAGCAGGCTCAGCAACAACAGCTTTCTTACCTCTAGAGCGTTGTACGCATCAAGGAACAGGTTTCTGCCGCTGATGCTACAGTAGACACAGCCGAGAGTCATGAAAAGGCAGAACGAGAAGAAATAACGGTGGTTCAAATGACCCACGCAGTTATTCAACCACGCTGACAGGTTGACTTTAAGGACAAAAACAGCATAAACCTACTTTCAGCCACAAAATATACTTTTTGATAAAGCTTAATAAACCAGTGGAGTTTAATAGTGAAAAAGGATACGGCAATGGTGGTCCATTTTCAAAATGCACCTGAAAGAAAAGAATAGACTTTTTATTGCTTTAAATAACATTCAGAGATGTCAGGAAGTCTGTTATCATAAAGTTTTTACTATTACAATCCTATGTGTACATAGTTGGGTTTTTCACTGACAAAGTCTTTCACTTTGATTTATTTTACAAAAATGAACTATGAATAAAATTAGAAATAAAAATGTAGGTCAAAATCAAAATGAAAAATGTATTATAAATATAATCAAATACATAAACTAAAAACCAAATGATTCATTTCAAATAGATTACACATATACATATATATATATATATATATATAAACATTTTGCATTAAAGATAAAAAAATCTATTAAGATGCTCTATTCAGAACTCCTCCAGTGGAAAACTTGGTTTCACTTGGTTTGATTTTGTAAAAATTCTTCTTTAAGGAACCTTTTCCCATCCAATTATTAATCGGTTAATGGAAAAATAATCAACAGATTAATGTATTTTAAAGAATAATTGTTAGCTGCAGCCCTAATTAAACTAACACACAAACACATACAAAAGGAAAATGCTGCAAATGCGAAATGCCACAATTAATCAAAGAAAATGGAGAGCGGCTAAGGTCTAGGATGCAGTGAACACATAACCAGCTGCCAAAACACAAACGATGCCAAAACACCAACACATGCAAAGGTAAAACAATGCAAGAAGAAAAAACAAACGGACAGCTATTAAAAGCTGAAAACTAGCTCTGGATAACGGAAGTGCTCCAGACCACAGACATTAGTACGCATTAATCGCACTCCTTCCAAATACATCAAATTGGTAAGAAGAACACTTAGGCCAAAGCATATATAAAGCCACAATAGGCACTGTCCAAATAGTGCAGGCAGTATGGAAGTAGGATGCTTCCTATCCCCGTTTCAGTTGGCATAGAGACCTCCTGAAGTTATTACTCACCACTAGGTGCTGTAAAGTTGCACACAATCAGTTGTGAGACAGAAAGCATGAGTACAGCCTACCTCAAAAAGTTTTTACAAAAATACATTATTTCTTCATGTGTACTCTTTGTGGCACAAGCTGATGTACACACCTTCATATGTTTTGGGTTTTATAACAGAGAGCTTTAGCCGCTCTTTTCTAGAAGGCTGTAGTCACATTTTGAACGGCGTCATTCATGTGCATGTTCGTCACAAAAACATGACGTCCATAACGCTGAAGGCTGTCCGGATTCAGCAAAGAATTACAGAATTCCTTCCCTACACTGTGTTAGGAAAAGTAAACTGCATCCTCCGTTAGATGAAAGATGGCCTGTGAAATTGTATTCTGTGTTGGTGACCTTTCATGAGCTACGATGATCCGTCTACCTTCTCACAATGAAGTTAATTGTCAACTGTGAATTCTGCCTTAAAGTAGATTGATAATTTCCGGTGCCTTCTGGTACGGAAATGATGTAAAGACACATTAATTGTGGACGCAGGGCTTTGGAAGAGACAGATGAATTCTAAGAGGGTGTTCCATTTGATAAAAGTAGGACTAAAAACATCACATTGGCGCCACTGTTTGTTGTCGTGGGAGAAAATGTGCAAGTAGTCTTAGTCAAAAACATAAAACACATCTACCTAGAGGATATATGGAGGAAAGACAGAGTTTTTAATGGATTTTTTAACCTCTTTGAGCATCCCATGAATGCTTTTACCAAGGGTATGTTCCCTTATGAGCTGTTGATCATATAAACCTAGTTTTCTGGAGAACTTCAGTTATACAGAAGTTCTTTGCAGCTTCTACTACCTTGCTGATGTTTTGGCAGCATTTTCACTTTACATGCATTTTGTGTATGTGCACTATTCTAATTTTTGTGTTTGCTAATCCCATTTATGCGTTTGCAGGGCTTTTGGAATCCGCTGTGAACTTGTTTGCATGGTGTTAGCAGCCCTCTGGTACCATAAAGAACAAAAAAAGGCTCACTAACCTGTTACAGATACCACAGTGATGAGTTCTTGCTGGTTTAGGCATGATGCATTTTTTACAGACTGAAACAAAAGGCCGGTCATTTTTTTCCTATGAATAAAAGAGCAAGATTTGTTGCTTTAAAAGGATAAAACACAATAAAGATTTGACAGAGAGGTGGATTTAATATCTTACTGTAGGAGGATATCCAGGGGAAGTCTTTGCAGCTTTGTAGTAGTGAAAAGCGATCATGATGAGGTTCCAGTGTCCATAACATATGTGCCAAGCAATCCATGGAGGAGAGTAAGTGTTTAAGACCAGAGGAAGAAGTACTATGTAGGCGATCAACACGATGGAGCTGGTCAGTATCACCACCAGACAAACAAATACCTGAATCAAAAGAAAATTAAAACCCAGAAAAATAATTGACAGTACAATATATCAGTTCCAGGTTGATCTTACTGTTTATCATACATATAATAATGCATATAAAAAGAAAGTTCTAAAAACACTTAATAGCTTATTTTCAGGTTGATACTGTGTAGTAAATATAAAATACTGCCTATATGTGATCATTTAAACCTTTGAACAGTGGAAGAGTGGTCTCCCAGATTCCTGACACAAGCAGGTGAAGCATCATTACATCCCCTCGCAAAAAACTTTACTAAAGTTAATTCAATCTTCAATCCTATTTGGTTCGACTCAAAAAACAAAACAAAACAAAGCATGACCACTTATCATTAACTTATTATCATAGGAAGTATCCAGACATTCATTTTCAGGCCAGGGTAGAAAGAAGTTTCCACTTTTGCCTCACTCACCAGGCCAAACCATCGTGTGACATAATCCACAGTCCAAAACACCGGCTCAAAGATGGAGTCGAAAACTACATCGGAGTCTGTGAGGGAATTGAAACAAAGTGACCGAACCAGCAGCTTTAGGTAAAGCCATATCTTCCGGAGCCATAAGGGGAGTCTGCTCCTCCCTCGCCTACTGCATGACCGCAAGCGCCCCGTGCGTAACAGGTTGAGCATGGAGCTGGGACTGCAACGCATCCTGCATTTGTAATGAGGAGGTACCTGCAGAGATAAAACGAAATGACGATAATGAGTTTATTTACTCACGATTCCTGAAAATCTTTAGGTATATTTCACAACAACTCCACATAAGATATTAGGTATTGTGCTGAAGTATCAGGGCATACCAAAGAAGTAATAGAGTGACCAGGTTTTCATGTGGAGTATAACAATGGAAAGCTGCCCCTCCCTCATCTGTTGCTGTTTGCTGTTGATGGATAAATGCTTCTAAACGTTTTCCTCTATTTAAGAAGAGATAAATAAAGATAAATGTAGCTTCCTAGTACTCTTACACAGAGGTGTCAAGTAACGAAGTACAAATACTTGGTTACTGTACTTAAGTACACTTTTTAGGTATCTATACTTTACTCCATTACTTATTTTTCCCCCTACTTCTGACTTCTACTCTTTACATTTTCACACAAGTATCTATACTTATGTTACAACAAACAAGTAACGCTACAAACAAACGTTACTCGTTACTCTTGGCTTCGCTTTAATGTTTATAAATATTTATTTCAATATTTATTTCACGTCATGTGCGCCATCCAATGCAGATCATTGGTGCCATTCAGATCTAGTGAAAACTAGTGTAATTGGATGAGTCGTATAGTGCAAACAGACATGGGCAATGTGGAGCCAACAAGTCATCTCCATGTCATGTTTTTGTTCTACCCAGCCACTGAAGCAGGTGAGTCCAATCTTCACCGTGAATTAACCTGTGTAGATTGGACTCACCTGGTTAATTGGCTGGGTAGATGAAATACATGACATGGAGATGACTTGTTGACTCCACATTGCCCATGTCTGAGTGCAAACACTCATTGGTTAGCTAAAGGAAATCATCAGAAGCCAGCAGGTGTTCTTCAAACTGCAAAGGTGAATTGTCTATGCTATGCTACAATGTAGGATTCAGAAAAAGATTAAATGTCTGAAAGGTCGGACACAGGCGAGAGCGTATCGGGAGATGGATTCAGAGACCAACAAGACCTCCCTCATCCTTGGCCCTAGCTCAAAGAATTTTTAGAAATAGTTGAAAAATTGAGCTTTCAATTCATATAGTGGCATCTGGCTGTTTTTTTTTTAAGGTAACTTTATACTTTTATACTTTAAGTAGTTTTTGAAGCACATACTTTTTCACTTTTCTTTGAGTAAAGAGGTCAAGTTGATTCTGTGTTTTCAAACTGTAGTATACTTCTACTTAAGTAACAAATGTGAGTACTTTTGACACCACTGCTCTTATATCACCAGTGATGCTCAGTAGTAACACCATAATAACCACAATTATTCCAATGTATTATTGATTGGGTATGAGTGTTGTTCTTATACAATAAGAACAAATGTTGCTTTACATTTTTTAGTTAATACAAAAGTACAACTCAAGATCGTCGTACCTTAAAATTCGTAAATTAAAAGATGCTATAGTGGACGTTCTTGCCTTTCAAAAATGCCCCAATCATAGATATTTGCGCCTTTTTATTAATGCCCATCTCTCCTTGGCCTTTTCTAAATTATAAATGCACATCCAAAACTTGAACAACTATAAATATGAGACAGTGTATAATTTGCAAACCAGCAGACCTATAATCAGGCACCCCGACAACTAAGAAAATGCAAATGAAAAAGATATATGATCACAAACATTAAAAAAAAGTAATTATGAATAAAGGACAAAGCATACATTTGTCTAACATGGTTTAAAAAAGGAGGGGCAGTCTAGTTAGACAGCATTCCCAACAGGGTGGAGTCTGGGTGGAGATCCTTCTAGTTGTTCAGGTGAAATGAAGAGGCAGGGGTCTGAAATACACCAGATTTCTGTCACCAGTAGATTTACTCAATCAGTCAGTGGCGGGATATGCAACAATGACCTGCAAAGCCCCTATAATCACCACCTTATGAAAGCAAAGCCACTTATGCATATAACGCTGCCAGTTAACTGTCTATCTGCAACATAAAAAACACTCCTAAATCCCTTTTGTCTGGATGTCAGGCAGCATTAGAGCAGCAGCCAGTGTGTGAGGCTCATATTGACTGACATTTTTCGGCATTTTAAGGAGAACCTACCTTGGTATGAAGCAGAGGACCTCACTGACTTACCCTTAGTGGTAGACATCGCTAAGTTCAAGGTAAAGCAGCATTGTTGCTATTTTAGAGCAGGAGTGTGATCCGAGAGCTGTCACAGTTTACAGCTGAATCCTGACCTAACGCTACTGCGCATGCGCTGAAGGGTTACCGCGATGCATCATGGGTATCTGAGTCAGGAACAGAGCGTTACGTTTAGAGCTGTTTTTATTCTTCGTAATTATTTTTTCTTTCAGTGTGTTTATTTCCGTTTAGTTAAATTTGTATAACAAGTCAAACTTTATTCAAAGACTCCGTAAATAAAGTAAAAAAAATGGGTCGCTTGACTCTGGAATTCTGGGAATTGAAGTCTTTCTGCAGGAACAACATGTGGAGAGGTTTCACCTTCAACTAGCTAGCCTGTCTGTCCGATCTCAGTCATGTCTTTTTGCTTTAACTTCGACATTTCAGCGCAAACAAACTTACCTGCAGAAGTTAGTGGAGATAATTCAAAAAGCGAAGAAAAGGAGGGAGATCAGAAATATGTAAGTAATTGTAGTACTTTTTTCTAAAGCTATTTTGATGCTAAGAGTGAGGAGCAAAAGTTCATTTTTGTTGGGATGATGTTAGCATCTGATCCAACACAGGTCTAAAGTTTTTTGGTGCATATATGAACTCTTTGAGTGTTTAGTAATTTCTACGTTTTTTTCCATTAGAAAGTTTATAAAACGGCTTTTCTGAAGCTGTATAAATAGAGCTAATAAATCCATCTCTGCTGGCGAGTTTGCTACTTCTGTCCTTCTCCTACACTAATCAAACCAGAACAAAATGTTTTTGTAATTATTATTAAATGTATGAAATTCTAAATTATAGTATTACATATTCGAAATGTATTTCTAAATTAACTTAAACATTTGAGGAGATCAATATTAATTATATCTAACCCCCAAATTATTTAATATTTATAATAATGCAAATAGACATTTTTGGTAATATCTCCTTAATATCTTAAAATATTACCACTGCTTTGATAATATTCATTATCTGGTTAGAATTTTGAATGCCTGCCCTCTTGAGGTAGTTATAGAAAAGAATAGAATAGAAAAGAAAAGAAAATTCCTTTATTGTCCCACAATGGGGAAATTCTGGTTTTACAGCAGCAAGAAGATAACAGAGAAAAATTATCACACAAATCTGGACCTCAGAGTGTATAAAACTAACATAATTGTGTAAATAAGAGTAAGAAAAAAAATAAAATGCAAATAAAATGCTGTACTTGAAACTGTTTTTCACAATATAAAACTATGCACCTAGAGAATAAATAACCATTACACAGCTGTGGAAATTTTTACAGTAATGGATATTTTTAAAATAACAGCAACATCAGAGATGTGCAAAATGACAGCAGCACGTTATTTAACTGACTAAGGTAGAAACTGTGCAAAAATAAGCACGAATTTAACAACTTATTTAGGTTGTTGGAAACAGTGGTGGTTCTAAAGTCTTACAGCTGCTGGGAGGAAGGATCTGTGATAATGCGCCCTGGTGCCTTTAGGGTGCAGCAGTCTGTCACTGAAGGAGCTCTCCAGTTCAGCGACAGCTTCATGCATGGGGTGGTAGACATTATCCAACAGAGATATTTTACAAACTGTTTCATGAAATGGTCTAAGTAATATAACCTTTCCAAATAAAGATTACAGTGACTGAAGTGGGGAACTGAATAATTAGGAGAGAATGCCTTTTCAGGCATTATCAAGATTATCTGGATCATAATGATGAATGGCTAATGAGTGGATATGTAAAATAGATCAATAAAAATAGCGAGGGGGAGTCGGTGGGTGCATGATTCTAAAGAAACAGAATTAAATATAAAAACAAATCTGTATATATACAATTTAGAACATTTTCATGAATTATAGGTAGGAGATAATAAAATGACACTGCAGTCAATCTCCACAAGAGATCAGGAAATATCTGACTTAAAGATGAGTCTGTGAAGATGGTATACAATCAATGGACTCTACCTAAATCCACTTTTAGGAACCAAGTTCTATGAATTTATCTATAAAGCTGAGATATCCCAGCCGGCGATGAAGCTCAACGCTGCCTGCTCTCGTCAATATGACCAGTCCTACATCAGACTCTTAGTTAGTCATAATAGTACCTCCCTCAGCTGTGGCTACCAGCATATTTATCCCACCTTCCAGCTCACTTGCAATCGCATCCATTTCTGCCCCGTTCAACCAGGGGTTTTCTTGCCACTTTCTTCACTGCAGATTGGTAACCATGAAATAACATTGATCACCTGGGTGATTTTTAAATACACAATAACATTTATGCTGTGCTTTGCATGTATGGTTGAATGTGGCCGAGTAGAGGGTCGAACATGAAGAGGTGCTTTGTGCGCAAACTTTGATGTACAGCTGGGATTTATAAAGGAAAACTGTTTGGTTTAGTGCATATGGATGGTTTTATAAATCAGGACTTTTTTGGGGGTGTAATTTATTTTCAAATGTTTGGTCCACACACACTTTTATTGTAGTATAGTAACGTAATGATTTTTAAATTGGACTTTGACTAGGACGGGGGTCTTTTGTTTTGTTGGTTTGTTTTTGTTTTTTTCTCCCATATATGGGGCTGAAAGAGTTGTCAAATTCTTTAAAACTTTCTCAAAGTCCTTAGCAGACTCATAAGCTGCTTTAGTCTTCCCTTTCAAGGCCTCTGATAAACTAAACATTCATTTGTTTTAACAGGGAAAACATTCCTTCCAAATGTTGCCTCATCTCCCTAATGTGCTGCTGATCTTACCCCTTTTAACTGTGAATAAAAATAATATATTTTTTACATTTGACTAGAAGATTTTTTTTTATGAAATTAAACCAGATGAAACTAAAATGTTTCCACAATTTTGATATAATTACTACTCTAAGTGGGTTTTAAGGGAGTCAAATAAAGGGATATTTTACAGTCTCTATATTCCAGTTAACGAATAATCGATTGCTAAATCGGTTAATCGATTAATCCGATTGTTTCAGCCCTAATTTTTACAGTTCTGTATCTATATTAATATATATATATATCTTTTCAGTAATACAACATATGGAAAGCCATTTTTTTCTGTCAAATGCGGAATCCTCCACTGAGTGACTTTCTTTTCCCTCTAGAACAGTTATTTAAATCAAAAGCATCTGTCTTTTATAAGAAAAGGGAACAAAAGCAGCATTTCTGTGTGACAGCCTGAGTTGTTTGTGTACAAAAAGGAAGTCAGTAAGGAGATGTTGACTGTTTACCACTAGAGAGCGTTGGTTCATAATCTTCCAAAAAGGGTGGAAGAAAAAATGTTACACAAAAAAAAGAAAAAAAGTTTGTTCCTGCTGATGGCAGACTGTGGATCACTACTGAATGATTCTGAAGTAGAGAAACAGACTGAAAGCTCTCTTCTTCTTTTCTTTCTTTCTTTTTTTTTTTTACCAGAATTGTTCTGTGCCTGTGGGTGCAACCCACATGACAACTCCAAACTGTTTTTTAAGTCACATAGTGAATCACAAGGGTGATTGGAAACAGTCTCATGTTCAAGTTTAGCAACCAGTCAGCCACCTCTGTCGTCATGTCATTGCTAGATTATTATAAGAAAGAAAGAAAGCTGACAATAGGAAAAAATATCAGATATGCCTTAAGCTTTATCTGTAAAGATATGCTTATCCTCTTCAAGATTTTAGGTTAAGATTCTTATTTTGACCATTTCACGTTTTCACAAAAATAATATGATGCTGTTTTGTTTTTTTCCCAGTAGTAGTTGGGAATTTAGAAGAATTTAAAATCTAAAGCACTACAAGAATGTTTAACATCATGGTCATGTGCCCCTAAAGTGTTGTATTGTTATTGAGGAAAGAAATAATGAAAAAACAAGGCTAGTTGCTGCATTTATGAACCACAAATGGTGGGAATTTTTAGTTTGGAAGCCCTTAGAGGACTGATGGGTAAATGTCTCCTTTTGTTTGGTGTTTTTAATCACCTAAGAGTGGGAATGTCCCGATCCGGATCTTGAGATCGGATCGGCCCGATCGTCTCCTATTTTGCCGTAATCGGAGATCGGCTACATTACCTGACTAGTCGCGCCGATCTTTACTGCAACTGCTGCAAAGTACCTGCTAGTTACGATTGATGGTAGTTGTGCAATGCAAAGCAAGCATGTCAGAAGTGTGGAAGTATTTTACTGTCCTAAAGCTACTTGCAATGTCTGCAACATGGCAATTTCAAGAGGAGGTAGCAGCAGAGATACATTTAACACCATGAACTTGTTTCGTCATTTGAGGACAAAACATGACAATGTGTATGAAGCATTTTGTAAAGCTGCAGAAGGAGAGGTTACTAAAGCAAAGCAACAAACGCTGGACGTTATGTGGAGAGACAAATACTCCAACGAAAGGTTGGTCGTATTTATTGCTCTTGACAACTTGGCTGAACTAAGATATGAGGGAGGCATAACTGGAAAGAGCATTGTGGTTATTATAACTAAGTATTCAGGTTTGGTTTTTGTTTTTAGGGCTACGTACGTGTTTGTTCATTACTGAAGAATGGTCTTGTTCATTTTGATCATGTTTCAGTGATCATGCTACTTTTTAGTTGCAGTCCTAAATTTTTGAATTCATTTGATTGAATTCTGTTTACTTACTTTTTAAGTTGGATTGAGATATTTCAAATTAATTTACTGATTTGTGACTATTTGTCAATCTGTTTACACCGCATTTAAGATGAGCAAGGGCATTTTACATTTGCTCAGTGGTCATTGCAAAAGTGGATCTTGGATAGCACTTCCTATTTGATAATACTGTACTAAGTCGGTATTTTTCTTTTTACTTTTGTGGAAAATATTAAATTGAAGCTGACCTTAATTCTGGGTAAAATGTTGATTTCATGGAATGTACAATAATAATGGTAATGATCAAATATTAGTCTAATAATAAGTTGAGTTACTTGCTCAAAATATATTATCAATTTCACTACTAAAGAGAAAATTTCGTATAGGGACTCAAAATGGGATCGGATTTGAGGTTAAAAGATCGGATAAGAATCGGAGGCCTAAAATGCTGATCGGGACATCCCTACCTAAGAGTCATGTGGTGTTACTCAGAGCCTTTAACCAGCTTTCTTAATTCTCTGCCATGATATGCTACCTCGTTTTTCACAGATGCATAGAGATGACAAACAGGCTATCCAGATGATGTGGGAACACGCAGATTATCACTCAAGTCAAGATCTAAAAAAATAAATGTCTCTTTAATTTCAAACCCAGCACGTCTAACTGAAACTCATAATCACATTAAATAAATTTGCTAATTTATGCTACTTTCTGTTGCAGGCAGAAGTTGAAGATAAATCATCAGCCGGTCCAGTGAAAGAGGCCAAAGAGCACCTTCCTCCATTGGACCCCCAGTTCCTCCTTACAGATGCTGTCTTTGAAACCGTTACCATTGGAACCCTTCCTCCTCTGCACTTCCTCAATGAGACCGTTTTCGAGAGGACGGCCTCCGAAAGAGAGGACGTGGAGAAAATCCTCTCTTGCAGGGAGGAGAAGAACTCTGATCTCATCTCTGGTGTGTACGAAGGAGGTCTGAAAGTGTGGGAGTGCACTTATGACATCCTGGAGCTGATAGAGAAAGAGGGAGAGACATTCAGGGGAAAGGCAGTGTTGGATTTGGGTTGTGGAGCGGGACTTCTGGGAATATTGGCCCTAAAGAGAGGAGCCAGGATGGTCCTCTTTCAAGATTACAACAGCACAGTCATTGAACAGCTCACAGTGCCAAATGTGTTCCTGAACTGCCAAGAGGATGATGAGGTAGAAAGTGATGGTGAGAAAAAGGGGAAGGGCAAGGGAAAAAAACAAGAAGAAGACGGTTGTGCAGAGAAAGGGAAAGATGACTCAAATGCTAACAGCCCACCTCCTAAGAAAAGAGTAACAGATCTATCCAAACACTCGTTATTGGAGAAATGCCATTTTTACTCTGGAGACTGGAGGACGTTTCTTCCTTTGGTTCTAAAGAGGAAGCCACAGCCCAAATTTGACATTATATTCACCTCAGAGACAATCTACAACACTTGCTACTACCCTGCCCTGCATGAAACTCTTCACCAGCTTCTGGCACCCGGCGGCCTGGTATACCTGGCTACCAAATCCCACTACTTTGGTGTTGGCGGCGGCCTACATCTGTTTGAGACGTTCGTGGAGCAGAGGGGTGTTTTCTCCCTGAATCACCTGTGGGATGGGGCTGAAGGCCTGCAGAGACACGTAGTGGTGCTGCAATTTAAAAAGCCCAAAGACCTCTGACCAGGAAATGTCAGCTATACACAAACTTGTTACAGATGATGAACCCTTGCATGAGAAATATGTTATAAGTTTGACTCAGTCACATATTTTGTGGCTGATTTTCAGCCAGTAATTTGGTAAAGCTGACGTGGATATCGATTTCTCTCTGTGATCCATGAAAAATAAAGAAATAGACTCCCTTTTACTTCTCTTTTGGCCATGTTGCTTATCATTTTGCAAACATTACACAAAAACAAAGTCACAAAGCTGACCTATATGGAAATAAAAGTCAAAAGAGTCAGAAAATCCCTTAATAAAAAAGATTATAGTTTAACTATTTCTGTACAACTCAAATGTAGAAGTGTACCATATTCCATAGGAGAAAGCTGTGGTTTAGAGTTATGTGTTACTGGAACTATTTCTGAACCTAAAGCAGATCTATGGTTGGTAACAGACCTCTGTTGGTTACAGGTATATATTTATAGGTATACTGAGGTTATACAAAGGTACAGTTTCCAGATTACTAACTGTTCCATTAAGTGTCACTTGTTTACTCATGTTTTTTATAGTAGAGCTGTGGGAGTGTGCCACATAAAACTAGACCTTTGAAAGTCATATTAGAATATTTAACAAAATACCCCATTTGTTGGAGACTCAAGTTACACCATATACAGATGATCAAGATAAAAGGAAGTGGCACAGTGATGCAAGTTTGACGTTTGGTGGTACGCCTCATTGCTTCTCCTAGTGCTGTACTCTGACAGTCAGCTGAATGAAAGAACACCTTGAAACTTTTTAAACATAAGTTTTACTTGTGTTATGTATTTAATGTAGACATACCATGAGAAATTCATAGCAGCCCAGGGCTTGTTATGAGCAACTTATTGCATTTGGACCAGTCAACAGAATGTCCCTATTGTTCTAAAACAAAGTTAAAATCTGATTAAAAGTTACAGAGAGAATATTTTAACCCGTCTTTAACATCTTATGTTGGCATTAAACATTGTTAGTGCAGTTAGCATTAATATTTTAGACAAAAGCATGTGTTTGTTGTAGAGTATGTAGACCCTTAACTGTGAAAACACCAACTATTCCTAATTCAACAAGTCCCTGGACAAACTTTTTGAAAGGGTTCATAGGAAAAATCTGTTGCTCATCTGTTGTTCAATCCCATTTCTTGAGATCAGTTAGAGCTTATTCATATTCGTATCATTTTGTGATCATTTGTTCCTGAGTTACTTCATCTAAAGGTCCGGTAGGAGCAAGAGATAAGCTAAAAAGACATCACAAAGACATAAGGAGGTTGAGTGGAGAAAACCATTTCAGAAGTGAGATTAGGAAAAGAGATCTCAAAATCATATGCATCTGATCTCAATTATGTCTTGTTTGTTTGAATGGGAATTAAAGAGAATAAGATGAGATGAATCTGAGAACACAAATAGTGAGCAGTGACGGTATGTTTATTTCTTACTGAGCCATAACTGAGACAGTGGATCTAAGCAAGGGTATTAAAATGAGACATATTCGAAATTGGCACAATATCTCCCATTTTTCTCTTATCTAAGATCCGTAAAGAAAGAGATATAAGAGAATTTAGAGAACTCGCACAATGCTCACTCTGAGACTTTTCTCGGGAGAGAAATTTGAGAAGGAGGAGAAAACCATTCGTCTCAATCAGTGCTCGTTTATATCTAGGAGATATAAATGTGACATAGAAAAGATCTCATCTCAGTTTTGCTTTGCTATAGGCTTAACTTTGGTGTAGTGTGTCAGCTTCCTGTTATCTACAAAGCTTCCTCTGTAAATTCCAGTAGATCCTGGTAGTAGAATGAACAAATGCTTCCTTTTCAAGGAGCTTGCCAATTATTTTGTGCCACATCTAACATATTTTTAACACTAATAAGAGGTCTTCACTTCCTAATCACATTCACACTGAAGAGCGACTGATTGAGGTTTAGATGAGGTTTAGATGTTTACGCGCTTTAGTTTCCAGCTAACCAATTATCAAAAATGGTAGCAAAAAAAAAAAAAAAAAGACAAGTGTGCCTTGAGATGATGTGTGTTTTGAATTGGTGTTATATAAATAAACTGAATTGAATTGGATCATTTCAGTCACCAGTTGATTTTTCTGTGCACCTGTTGTGTTTCTATAAATCTAGAATGAAGCGTTGAAAATGACTTACAAAATGTCTTGTTTTCTTTTACCATTTTACTTCCTTCAAAGAAACCTGAATAGGCCAGTAACTGAAGTGATCTTAAAAGGGGATATTCGGGGTCTTTATATGCATTTGGACGAAAGAAAGGAAATGGGCTCAGTGACCTTTGCGAGTGTTTTCCCCAGTGTTCAAACACCAGCATGAAAGCAGGGCTTGTTTCGGCCATCCAGCACAAAATGTCACTTGCAACCTATCCTGCAGGTCTGGGGACGGAGTTTGAAAGTGGATGCTAGAGTCAACGTACATCAATCGCCTGGGGGACTCTTTGGAGGTCTATATGCCTCTTATTTTTCTGGATATATGAGCCTAATGGGTCTCACTCCTAAACAATGAGTCTTGACACGTTTGAGGCATGTCTAGGTTGAGGAAATATGCATAGTCACTTAGCCAAGCATGGAGTAGGGAACTACGTGCTATTTTCCCAATGCCACATGGAATCCCCGTTTGGTAGAGAACAAGGAAATCCAGTGAATAAATTTCACAGGGATTTTTCTGAGGAACAAAGCTTCAAGTCTAGACTAGTAGCTTGTACTTTAGGTAGCAGTTGAAGAAGATGAGGAAATCAGTTCTTGTTTTTGTTTTTTTTTGTTTTTTTTTTCCCCTACTGCTCACCGAACAATAGGACTCTATGAAGAAGGAGATATTTCTCTATCATGTTCGAATTAGCCTGCATAGCAAACAGACTTATCTCAGGCTATATGTGTCAGTAAGAGTGTGGCGGAAATCCACCTGCTTTTACATTCCTGCCTGATGAACTATATTGCACAAAACTTATCTTTTTGAAACCTTATGTCAGCAACTTTGTTAACATGACTGCACCGTTGAACACCCACGAGGGTATCTGCAGACTTTCCAGCTCCCTATTGTGTAAATGCATTCCAGAATAAAACACTATAGGGACCCCCTAACACAGTTTCTGTTTGCAGAAACTGACCGACAAACTTCCAGTGCGTCCGCTTCGTCATAGAGTCAGCTTGACAGCTGTTTTGTGGCCTGCGGGGGAATTCCTGGTTCCTCGAGTAGACACAGCCTTTCCCCTGCTTACTTTATGGGAACAGGGGGCAGGGCAAGTCAGATGGTTTTCCTCAGAAACTATTATGTGTTGATTCATTGTGAGGGGGCGTGCTGTTCACACCCACTGCTTCCTTCTTACTGGGAAGTGACTGTCAGGCTTACCGTACGGAGGGAGTGTATGAAAAACAGAGAGGAGGGAAGTTTGATGGGTGAAGCAGAAAGGTGCTATTTAAGCACATTTGCTGCGAATGCCAGGCACTGTACCTCATCCTTTCTTGGGAGTTGGAGTTCATGTCAGATGGAGCTGCAGAGGCAGTTGCATTTTTGAAGGGTTGTGTGTAGAAAAAAAAGAAAAACAGCTTCAAGGCTTTAAGCAATGACTGCTGAATAGTGTTAACCTGTAAAATCCTGGCTTCAATGGGGAGTTTTGTTTCCGATACATCCAGGGTTTGGAAAGATGTTCTTCAGGTACGTAGACAGACTTTTAACATGTTTTTATTTTAGAATAGATGGGTGTATAGAGTTTCTAAAAATGAAACTAAGTGCTTGAACGCCAGCAGAACATGATACTGTATCAGTGATTAATTCCTGTGTGAGTCTTGATGAATGGATGTTTCCTGTCCATTAGCAGGCCTGCTTAACCTGTTGTCTCCCTCTTTAACCGCCAGGCAATTCCCAAACATGCTCAGGTGTGGTCTTCCTTAGAAAGCTTCCTGTACTGCATTCAAACCTAACTGAGCAAAGGCTTTTAATGCATAAACCAACATTAGTGAGCTAACATTCAAATAGTTAAATAATCTCAACTGCCTTTATCAATATTGACTCCAGGCCTTGGATGAGGTATTTTTCAGCCGAGCTCAGAGGGGGATCTGTACCACAGTTAATATCAAACTCATGTGTCTATGTGGTGTGTGTGGCTGTAAAGCACAATGACCCACAGCAGTTCCTTTCCTGGCAGTGTAGCTGATGAGTCATTTCATCTCTTGACCATCACCCCAGTCAGTAAGTACTTTTATCAGCCCCGTTGATAACCTTTCGTTTCGGTGGAGCTTCCAGGAACCCTTGAGTTAAGCAGAAGTTTGGCGCGTTCCAAACTTCAGAAGGAAATGTATTGAATAGTTTCACTTGTAAAGACTATTATACCTTAAATATTACTCTTGGAAATGAGTCTCCTTGTCGGATGTTTTAATCTATAGTATAGTTGCATTTGCTTTAAATATATATACATACTCCACTAAGTGATTATTAATTATTTGAGGCCAAGTTTAGTCACCACAGTAATGGTCTCTTGCTCAATCTTACCATGGAAGAGGCTAAGCTGACATTATCATCTCATCCTCACTCTGCTGTTCTTGAGAAATGGGGATGGGTGTCTTGTCATTCTACTTGCCTGGTAACAAGGGGTTGGTTTACACTCCCTTCTTCCTGCTTAACTTAGTAATTATGCTGCGGATGTATTTACTCTGTAATGTTTTGGCATCACTAATAGGGCTGTGATCTACCGCACTGATGCTGAGATGTGAGTTTCTTTTGACAGGTTTGCCATTGGAGGATCAATGCGCTCCTGAGGGCCACGTGCTGATCGGTGCTCTGCTGTGAGAACTGAATTCCATAGATGGTGGCATGTGAAGGGGTCATCTATGGGCTCAGTTCTTTTGGCTTGGTACTGGTTTTTCCAGCAGGATTTACAAAATCAGAGAGTGGCCTTCATTATCCTCTAAATTCATTAAAACTGATAATTGTTTTGATTTCATGTTTTTTTTTTTTTTATCTGTTTAGTTGAGCTCGAATTTTAGGTTAATAAAAAGTCAGACTGGATTTCTTTTAATGTGTATCATAAGCAGATGGGTAAAATTCAAAGAATTTTGAAAAATCTGTACAATAGCTGCCCTCACTTTTTCCCAGTATTTGGCGCTAAATTTAATAGTAACAGTGACTGTAATTTGCAACAAGTGGTAAAATATTTGAGCAAATA